CCTTCAGGTCTATGGAGATTCCCAGTCATCCAGGTCATGGTTCTTCCGAAGTTGCTTTTTCAACTGGACTTTGTTTTTTCTTTTCATTTCTCATCCAAGAAGCTTCTTCAATGGACCTTCATGTTGTCTCTTCCTGCTTTATGTCAGCCAAACTATTGTTGTCAATATTTGCAATCAAATTCACAACTTTAAACAACAACAAAAATCACCTAAATGTAGGATTTTGGAAATTCTGTATACCAAAGTAACTTTACTAAAATCTGTTAGCAAAAATAGAGTGTTCAGTTGAAATACTTGGCTCATTTTTCATGAGAATTATACACATGCCTACATACTCACCCACACATATTGATGTTGAAATGTGATAGGTCAAAAAAAGAAAAAAGAAATTGGATAAAAATCAAACCTTGGATATTTTTCAAACACCAGGAGAAACTGCAGAGGAGCTTTTAATAAAGATAAACCTAAAGCCTTAGCCTTCATAATCCTATCTATTCCATCCTTGTCTAAAATTCAGAAGAAACCCTATGCTACTATATGAGTGAAACAAATGGGAGCGAGTAGCATAAAACATTCACTTGGTTTGCACAACATTAACTGCAAGTGAACATTTTTGGTGAATAAATATGAAAGACTGTAGCCGTAGTCAAATGGGATCAGATGCTGCAATTGACATTCGGAGTTAAGCATTGTTAACCTGCCTTCCAGTGACTCAGTTATCAACATTTTTTTATGGCTGAACCATTTTATTTTGCAGTCCTTGTAGAAAATCTCTATATTTCTAGTAAGCACACAAGATGAGAGTAATGAGAATGAAGCAAAGCATGATTTAACTTTGGAGGTGGGTTGGGGGGATGGATTAAGCTGGGTCCACTGCATTTGTTTCAGATCTGATGTCAGTGAAAATAGAGCACACCAAAAGAATTATGGACAGAATTACTGCTGAAAACCGTGTTTGTATCTATGTTTGCTTTGAAAAATTCTCACCCAGACACATATTTAATAGTCTGTAATTGTTTGAGTTCTTAACCCATTACTCAGTATTCCTCTGAGCAAATTTGAAATATTTAATTTTTTTGTCATGCTTCATTTCTTATTTAATTTTGTTTATATCACAATAGGTTAAAGAGTGGCTGTGAAATAAATATTGGAAGTCAGGAATGAAGAAAGAAAAATGTTATCATTTCTCCTTTGCACATAATAGATTAGTTAATTTGGGGCCCTTAATTGGTGATCTATGGCATAACAAGGATTCCACGCAATATGAAATTAAGTTGTTTGTTTGTTTTATAAAACAAACAAAACAAGTTGTTAAAAAAATAAAACACTATTATCTGACAAAATAGAGACTCACCTAAAGTACTTTAGTACAATGAAATAATATCTGTCAAGTGTGAGAAAATCAGGAAGTCTAGGAAATTCAAAAGAATATAAAGGTTTATTGTAAGCTTGTGCTCTCTATAAGAATCTGAACTACTAACAGTCAAAGCAAATTGACAGTAGATAAGACTCAACAGAATTCAAGGTGGGCTGGATTTAGATCTCTTGTGGATGCAAAGAGACTTGAGACTGATGACCCACTTGATCCCTCCCTCAGGCACAGTCTGGTCATCTCCTACAAGGTCAAATGTAATGAAATATTAAATTTATTATTTATTTATTTTTATTTTATGAGACTTATATACCGTTTTAAGTGCAAGCACTCTCTAAGCGATGTACACCAGTAAGCAATGTATATATATATTTACATTGCCCCCAACAATCTGGGTCCTCATTTTACCTACCTCGGAAGGATGGAAGGCTGAGTCAACCTTGAGCCGGTGAGATTTGAACCACTGACCTGTTGAACACAGTCAGCTAAAGTGGCCTGCAGTACTGCACTCTAACTGCTGCGCCACCTCGGCTCTTTTTGAATATTAAATATCTCTGAATGCTAATGTTTACTTTTAAAAAAAAATATTTCAAACTAATATTATCCAAGGAAGGGGCATCCATGGTGTTTTTAATCCTTTCTCATTGTCTTAATTTTCCAGATGAAAAATTTTGCTATTTGCAAAATAGGAATTTCAAAGATTTTTTTAAGGGAAACTAACAAGGGGAGAAAAAAAAATGTCCTTATATCATGGATAAGAAAATAGACCAATTAACTATGCTAAATAGCTTGAACCGATTTCCTGGAGACAGATTTTGAAATTAATCTGAGGGCTTAATTAACCCACATTTTCATGAGGGCTACAGGTTGTTCTCATAGCTTGCACAAGTTTCTTAAAGAGTCCATGGTTAAAATTAGCAGAGGCATTATATAATAATAGTTTGAGATCAGCTGAGTTTTTGATTGGTATTGATATAATGAGGTGGGTTTTTCAGGAAAGTGATTATAATGTAGAGTTAAAGGATGGAAATAGAGTTCGGCTGCCACACATTGGTGCAATATTCAGCTGCCTTTTTAAATAACAGAATAACAAAATTGGAAGGTGTTCTAGTCCAGGGCTTTTCAACCAGTGGTATGGGTACCACCTGTGGTACATTGGCACCTGGCAGGTGGTACGTGACCATCCTAAAAGTGGTAGCAAGGGAGGGGAATGAGCTGAACCGGTGGCAGCACCCCACAAGCCTGAGCGAGAGATGACTGGAGCTGCAGGGCTGTCAGGGATCAGCGGAAGCACCAGAATCAGTGCCAGGCTCCAGCTGGAGCTTGGCGCTGATCCTGGTGCTTCTGCTGAGTCCAGAAGAAGTGCCAATCAGCTGGAATGTTGCAACATCTCCAGGGTCTTGTGATTTACATTCAGATGCTTGGCAACTGATTCATATTTATGACGGTCACAGTGTCCCAGGGTCATGTGAAGTGACCAAAACCTGCTGCAACTACCCAGCAGACGGGAGGAATAAAAACCAAACATCCCCCCCACCCCACTCCCACTGCCAATCCTCAACAGAAATGCTCACAACAATGAAAACCTCGGACAAGAGGAAGAGCACCACCAGGTGGGCAGGCAGGTGACTTGCTTGGCTGTGCTTTGGGAGGCACTTTTTTCAGTGCCATTGTAACTTGGAACAGTCACTAAGCAACTGTTGTAAGTCAAGAATTATCTGTACTTTATCACTTTTTTCCTTTTGGGGGGGTCATCAGGTTTTTGACATCTTGCTAGGTGACTGGTGGTACTCAGATATTGCCATATCTAAAATGGTACAATGGGTGAAAAGGTTGAAAAGCCCTGGTCTAGTCGAACCTCTTGCTCAAGCAAGAGACATTATACCATTTCAAACATATGGTTGTCCAATCTCTTCTTAAAAACCTACAGTGATGGAGCATCCACAACTTTTGTTTAATTGTTCTAACTATTAGAAAATTTCTCCTTATTTCTAGACTGGTTCTTTCCTTGATTAGTTTCCATCCATTTTTTCTTGTTCTACTTTCAATTAAATATTCCCAGCTTGGATTTGAGCACAGCTCAGCTGTGGCCACAAGAACTAATTTATTTGGAAGTCCCCAAGTAACATTCCTTGTAACCTGATGCTTCATTCTCCTTCACCAGTTGCAGGGTTTTCTTGGACAATCAAGATCCATCCATCCATCCATCCATCCATTATATTAGTCTATAGCCACTAATCTCACAAAATGTGACTCTGGGCAGCACAGACCGTACACTGAGGTCAGATCTGGAGCAAGTGCAGAGCTAGAAGCAGTGAGATATGATTGTTCTTCACCTTGGGTCCTAGGTCCTAATCCTTCAGAGTCTCAGGTCTCATTTTGCTTTTCTACCTCCTCTTCTGGTGATTGATATCTATCATCTGTATAGTTTGTCCAGCCTGCTCTTAAATTCTAAATCATCGACCTGGGATAAGTACACAGTTTGAGGATGGACAGATGAACCTCTTACAGCTTCACAAATTCGGTGCAACTTCACTCAGTTCCTAAACAGCTGATTCATTTGTTCTAACCAGAGCTGCTTATGAATGTTGTTTGAGAAATAGTTTCAGTTTGTTGTGTTTATTTTTTTTCTTTACTAATAAGCTTCAACTTTACTATCCAGGTTTCTGATTTCCCCTGCTTATTTCTCCTGTCCCTTTGGATGGACTTCCCAGCAAGGGTCTAATACACGGGTGTCAAACTTGCAATGTCACGTGATGTGTTGCAACGTATCGCGACTTTTTTCCCATTGCTGGCAATGGGGTGGGTGCAGTTTTGGTGTGACGCATCCGGCCCATGGGCTGGCAGTTTGACACCCCTGGTCTAATATAACCTTCCATACAAATCTGGCTGTGGTATTCTAGCCTCATCCTGCATGGACTTGTGTTGTTAGTGCTCAGCACAGCTCAAAGCATAAAATTTCTTTCATGGAGAGATTTCCACCAAGTTAAAATCGGTTAGATGTTTATTATTTATGATAAACAATTGTTTATTGCTACCATATTATAAAGTTGGGTTGATTGACATTTTTAACAATATATTTCTGAATAATGCATAATATTCGTACCAATTACAGTAACTGCAACAAACAGTTACAATGAATGCCATAGCTACTATGTCATAAGTAGTAAATTTGGACAGATGTCATGAAGGAGTTGAGGTGAGGGGATTTTTCTTTCTGTAACTATTGAAGATGCTCATTGTTTTACTTTATTTTCCACTTCAGTGGTTCTAAAAAAAATTTAGTACTAGCTGATGCTTTAATCTTCTATTCCGATCCATTTTTTAACATTTATGCTTGTCAGTATTTTTGTTTTATCACTTTAGATTTTGCTTTTCTGTTATGTGATAAGATATTGATGATTCGCTGGTAGGTACTGTATTGAGAACCTAATAAAAAGAGATGTATAAAATGATAATGATCATAAAAAAGATAGGAAGTCCTCTTTCTATTGTTTAGTCTAGACAGTTCATCACAGACATTCCTCAATTTGCTCTCTCTTATGATCAGATGAATCCTCCTAGAACATTAGTTGGACATTTTTCATCTTGACATTTGTGTTTCTTGCAATTTCTCTTTTTTGGTTAGGGAGAGAGCATTGAATACCTCCCAATCTGGGTTGTTGCAGCTTACAGTGGGGAATCTGAAACCTGAAGAGACCTATACATTCCGAGTAGTGGCATACAATGAATGGGGACCGGGAGAAAGTTCACAGCCTATCAAGGTGGCAACACAACCTGAGTGTAAGTACATTAATTGGGTTCTAATTGGGTTTTGATGTTCCTGCAGTCATTTTTAGTCTGCTTATGTATGTAAAGTGGTATGGTATGGTATGGTATGGTATGGTATGGTATGGTATGGTATGGTATGGTATGCTTGGTATGGTATGGTATGGTATGGTATGCTTGGTATGGTATGGTATGGTATGGTACTCTATGGTAAAGTACTGTATGGTATGTTATGGTACACTATAATATGGTATTTATTTATTTATTAAATTTATTTGCCACCCATCTCGCTGTGGGGCTACTCTGGGCAGCTTACAGTAGTAAAACATAAAAAATGATAAAAAAAAATTTATATAAGCATAACAAGAAATAAAGAAATAAAACAATAAAAATAGACAGTGGAAGTACAATAATATGAAATCAAAAAGATGGGGAGGAGCAGGAAGCAGAGGTGGGCAGATGAGCTCAGCTGATTAATCCAGCAGCCACCTCCAGTGATGTACTCTCCTACTAGATCCTCAGGCCAACTGGCAGAGTCAGATCTTCAGGCCCTTGCGGAAGGATAGGAGCAAGCCTCAGCCTGGGGGGGGGGCAGGATGTTCCAGAGGGGTGGTTCTTTTTCTGGATACTGTCAGTCGGAGTTCCTTGACTGGCAGGATCTTCAACAGCCTCCTCTGCCAGCATGAGTAGGACAGGTTAACAGGACAAGACAGTTCATCAAGTAATCTGGACCTCTACATGAAGAGCTTTAAAGGTCCTAACAAACTCCTTGAACAGCACCCAGAAGCAAACCGGCAGCCAGCAAAGCTAATGAAGCGGTGGTATAACATGGGTCATTTTATGCGCCCCAAAGACTGCTTGTGCTGTTTTTGTACCGGTTGAGGCTTCCAAATGCATTTCAAGAGTAGCCTCATAGATATGGCATGGTATGGCAGGTCCTTTACATTTACGACCTTTGAGGCATCCCCATGATCACGGGATCAAAATTCAGATGCCTGGCAACTGGTTCTTATTTATGACCATTGCTGTATCTCAGGGTCATGTGATCACCTTTTGTGACCTTCAGACAAGCAAAGTCAATGGGGAAGCCAGATTAACTTAACTGGTTACTAACTTATCAACTGCAGTGATGCACTCAGCAACTGTGGCAAGAAAGGTTGTGAAATGGAGCAAAACTCACTTAACAAATGTCTCACTTAACAACAGGGCTCAATTGTGATCGTAAGTCGAGGACTAACTGTACTGGATGATCTGGCTCTTCCTGGCAGAGGACCTGACTAGGGATAGAGACTTCTACACATATGCCACAATGACAGGCGCTCTGATAGTCTTTTTGGTAACAGCATATGATTGCGTACTCCATATCAATATTGGTTAATGTAAGCTTAATAGGAAGAACTGTCAATTATACCTCAGAGTAATTGAACTAAATTGCAGTTTAGTAGTTTGTACAGCTGACAGTCTGTAAAACATTTCTATGTTTGCCATTGCTATGTCCTATTAGAATGATATGGCACTCATTGTTACACCCTTTCCTCGCCAAACAGAATTTTTAAAGGACAAAACATACCTTGGTGCTTGAAATGCTGTTAAGGAAAGGAACTACCAGCATTTTTATGTATGTGCATATGTATGCCTTTGAGTCAATTTTTGACTCCCAATGACTGCCTGGATTAGTCCTTGCAGCTGTTTTGGCAAACTTAAGTGGTTTGCCCTTGTCTCCATTTTAGGGCTGAGAGAAAGTAGCTGTCTCAAAGTCACTCAGCCAGCTTTGTGCCTAAGGCAGGATTAGAATCCGTAGTCTCCCAGTTTCTTGCCTGATGGCTTTAACCACTATGCCAAACTGACTGTACCAAAAGGAAGCTCAGGTAGACCTTGACTTCTGAACACAATTAGGATGAGAATTTTCACTGTTAAGCAAGGCAGCACCTGATTTTACAATCATTTTTTGCCATAATTGCTAAGCGAATCACTGCAGTTGTAAAGTAAATCATGAGGACATTAAGTGGATTCAGATTTCCTCCCCCCCCCCCACATTGACTTTGCTTGTCAAAAACTGGCTGGGAAACTTGCAAATGGCAATCACCTAATATTGCATCCATTGTGAATACATGCCAGTTGTCAAGTGGCTGAGTTTTGATCACACGGCAATGGAGATACTGCGACAATTGTGACCAGGGTCATTGTAACTTTGGACACTTGCTAAACAAATGTTTGTAGCTCAAGAATTACCTCTATATATACCCATATATAATTTCTATATACCCATCTGGACCTGCCTAAATGCTTATGTATGGAGCAAAGGAAAAGCAAGAAAAGATGTCTTATTGGTTAAGACCAGTGGGAATCTTAACATTTTTAGAAGGTTCAAGGAGAATTGCCCTTACTTATTATTGCAAAACAAAATTATTGTTTCCATGGTTCATGAGACTGATGAGAGCCAAAGAACAATTCCAAAGTCTTTAGCAAGTCAAAGGTTCACAGTTCCTACTGTGTACCTCACTGTCCTTCATATGAGCCCCATGGTTAAAGTGCAGCATCACGGGTAAAACTCTGTTCACAACCTGGAGTTTGATCCCGATGGAGCTCAAGGTTGACTCAGCCTTCCAAACTTCCAAGGTTGGTAAAATGGGGACCCATATTGTTGAGGGTAATATGCAGATAATGCTTCTACATTGTAAACTGTCAGAGAGTGCTGTAAAGTGCTATGGGATGGTATATAAGTCTAAATGCTATTGCTAGCATATATCTCAGTCTTCTGCAGTCTGATAATTTTTCAGAATAGAAGATTTCCAAACACTGCTTCTGTCCCATATGCTGAAGTTTCTTTTGGGTAAAGTCTGACTGTCTGCAGAATGCCCAGAGTAGAGTTATTATGAAAATAATTCTAGAAAAGTAGAAGGTATATATCAGTATAGAACTTAACATGTTAGCAATATTTTACAACCTTGAGACTTATTGCAATATTCCTGGGACAAGAGAGACATATCTCATTTTTAACAGTGCTGGAGATGAGCATGAGGCCATCAGGAGTAAGCGTGATGGGGAAATAAAATAAAATATTTGACAAGTAAGAAAGGGCACCCTTTTACAATTCAACTCAAATGTGGAGTGGGAGATGTTATTCTATTTTTCTTTCTTTAAACACCAATACTTTAAGAAATTGATAGTGGTAGCAATTTGAATAGAACAACTGATAGGGAAGCAAACTCTTGGAGTTTGGAGTCAATGTTGTGGCACTTGGCTCATAGCCTTCAGTGCTTAATGACTGGTTTTGTAAATCTCCTGTTGACAGTGTGTGGTCCTTGAACAAAACCTTTATTTGACACACTTCACTATATTATTTCTTCATATACTCAGCTTGTATACAATTTGGAGTCAGGAACCACATCACATTTGAATGACTTCATTGCCCAAAAAGATATTTTGTTTTAAAGGTAGTTGTTCTGCACAGAGAATCCAAATTTGATTTATTTAACATGCAAACAAATTAACATTACATTCATTTTGATACATATGAGGAAAAAAACCATCACCCTAAGGTTAGTTTTATCACCGTGGTGGTTATTCCAAAGAGACTGCTCTTCTCTTCTTTAGTCCAGATCTTTTGGAATAAGGGAATATTGCACTAGACTATTATTCATTCATTCATTTTCTATAGCTGTGCTACTCAACCAAGTGACTTTGGGTGGCTTACATTTTTAAAATTATAAAACAATTAAAAGAAACATTAAAACAATATTGAAAAAAGTCTTCCATAGATGGTGAGACTGATGAGATGCCAAGAATAATTCCAGATTCGTTAGCAAGTAAAAGATTTGCAGAGAAGTGATAGAATAGAATAGAATAGAATAGAATAGAATAGAATAGAATAGAATAGAATAGAATAGAACTTGGAGTTCTTCTAGTCCAACCTACTGCTTAAGTAGGAGACCCTATACCATTTCAGACAAGTGGCTGTCTAGTCTCCTTTTAAAAACCTCCAGGAATGAAGCACCCACAACGTCTGAAGGGAAGCTATTCCACTGCTTAATTCTTCTCACTGTTAGGAAACTTCTCCTTAATTCCAGGTTGCTTCTCTCCTTGATTAGTTTCCATCTGTTGTTTCTTGTCCTGCCTTCTGGTGATTTGGAAAATAAGTTGACCTCCTCTTCTTTGTGGCAGTCCCTCAAATATTGAAATATTGCTATCATGTCACCCCTAGTCCTTCTTTTCTCTAGAATAGCCAAACCCAGTTCCTGCAACCATTCTTCATATGTTTTAGTCTCCAGGCCTTTAATCATCTTTGTTGCTCTTCTCCACACTTTTCCAAAGTTTCAACATCTTTTTTGTAATGTGGTGATCAAAACTGGATGCACTATTCCAAGTGTGGTCTTACTAAAGTACTAAAGTGGTACTAATACTTCACGTGATTTTGATTCTATGCCTCTGTTTATACAACCAATGATTGTATTAGCTTTTTTGGCTACTATGGGGAAAAGACAAAGTGGAACCTTGTTGGATGAGGCAATTTATAGTCCAATCCCCTATTAAACGCATCCTATGGAAGGAAACCATAGAAACCAATGGTGTCATTAGAGAAGTGGACCCTCAAATGTGGGTGGGCCTAATAACAAGAACCCTTGTTCAATATTTAGAAGGAAGATTGAGACGTGACTTGTTTCTCATCTGGACTGAGTACCCAATACATGCTCACCACTCCTCATTACTTTAAGGACCTAAAAGACATAGAAAAGAGAAGGTCTTTCAATAGAAGTACAGCATCTTTTTTTGCTGAGAACTGAATGGAATATCCTAGCAAACATTATGTGCATAACATGACTCATTCTCTCAGTCTACAGTAGTAAAAGAAGCATTCTTTACCACAGTTTTTCCTGGAAAGACATCTGCAATAATAATAATAATAATAATAATAATAATAATAATAATAATAATAATAATAATAATAAAGTTGGAAGGGATCTGGGAAGTCATCGAGTCCAACCCCCTGCTCAGGCAGGAAACCCTACACCATT